TTACCACTATTAAAGGGCATCCATTGTGGCATAGAAACATAGCACATTTAAGAAATTAAGAGAAACCCCCATATGTCGGGAAGGAGAGGAAGAGGAAGGAAAAAGCATTAGGCGAGCAGTGCGAGAACCCCAGACCCCAGGTATGTCAGGGCTTTGTAGGCCCTGATGTCTACGCTTTGATGCTAAGAGTAATGAGATGCCATTGAAAGGATTTCAGAAGGGGCAGGGGAGGGGGTAACACAATTAAATTGTATTCATAAGAGATCAGCTGTACAATTACCATAATACCCAACAATTGCACTCAGGCAGTTAACCCCAGAGAAGTAGAAATTTAGGTTCACACAAAAACCTGTACATGAACATTTATTGTATATTTATTTATAATAACAAAAAACTGAAAACAAAACAGATAGCCCTCAATGAGCAAATGGTTAAGCACACTGTGGTCGATTTATACCATGGAATACATGGAACGTTATTCAGCAATAAAAAGAAATGAACTATTTATATATGTAATAACTTGGATAAATCCCAAGGATATTTTGGTAAGTGAAAAAGCCAATGTCAAGTGGTTAAATATTATATGATTCAATTTACATCATAGGCTGTGAGGACAGGTTAGTGGTTGTTGCAGTGCAGGGGTGGGGAAGGAGGGGGTGGTGGGGAGGCCAGGGGCTGTCAAAGAGCAAGCAGAGAGGTCCCTGTGGAGATGGGACTGTTCTGCGTCTTGAATGTAATAGTGGGTACAGGAACATGCAGGATAGATAAAATTGCATGGAATTAAGCACACGTGCACACACACACACACACAGACACACACACACACACACACACACCCCAGTACAAATAAAACTGGGTTATATCAATGTCAGTATCTTGGTTCTGATATTACACTATAGTTTTGCAAGTTTTGCATATTATCATTGTTGGAAACTGAGTAAAGGGTATATGGAATCTCTCCGTATTAATTTTTACAACTTCATGTGAGTTTACAATTAAGTCAAAAAATAACGTATAAAGATCTTCTGGTCAGAGTGGTTGCAGCGGGAAAGAACACATGCCAAGAGAAGAGGTGGAGGCTTTTTCCGTTGTTCGGTGTTCACCACGTGTTATGCTAGTGGAAAAGATTCCTCTCGAATGGTAGAATTTAGGGTGTACAAATCACATATACTTGTGACCTTGTATTTTATATTTTTGTGTACGTGCTTTAGCTCTCTGATGAGTAATAATAAAATTTTAAGAGCAGAGATTGTCTGATAAATGTATATAACTCCCATGACAGCCAGCACCAGGCCTTAGATATGAGTTCTGCATCTTTCGATGAATTACTGTATGCGTATGCATATGCTAAGAGTCCATGGACCTTCACTACAATTTGGGCTACAATTAGCTTCTACAAATAAAATTACAGAAACCATGAAGGCTACTGTTCTTTCTATTAGCTCTGAATAGCATTCATGGTGCTCTGAAGTGTTTATTTAGATTGTGGTTTATTGAACCTAAAGTTAAAAGAGTGTCTTAAAGAGGCTCTGTCATCTATCTCCCTCATTTTACATGGCAGAGATGTCATGTGACCTTCCTGAAGACCCACAGGCCAAAGGTGGCCAAGAAGCAGATAGTGACTGGGGAGCGCAAGAGTTGGTTTACTTTGAAGAGCCTCAGGTTAGGAGGAAAGCCTCTCAGTAAGGGATTAAAGTTGTTTCTAGATGACTGAAAGCAGATCCCTCAGTGAACATATTCTGGAACGAGGCAGTATGTATTTATCAGCAGAGCAGTGATGGATTCCATAGGGTCTAAGGATCCTGTACAAGCCCCGATAAAACTAGAGAAGCCAAAGAAATTATTGCATTCCTCACATACTTGAGTGATGGTCATTCCGCTTTGTGAAAACCCATTTCGAGAGAAAATATACGGCAACAGTAAAGTTTCTTCTTTATAGGAAACATAATTTTCTTATTTTAACATAAAGGATGTTTGAGAGATGTAGCATCATGAACCCTGTGAGCCACTAAGAAAACTATAACAGAATTATTAAGGAACTATCAGACTATAGCCGGTAACCGCCACATAAATTAGTGGTTTTCAGCCAGGTTGCGTATTGCATATTAGAATCACTTAAGGGTTTGAAAAATATGAATGTCCAAATACAAAACTAAACCAGAATATTTGGGGTGGGATCTTGGCCTATATTATTATTATTATTATTACTATTACTATTATTATTACTATTATTATAGCACCTCAGGGATTTTGAATGTGCAGACAGGTATGGGAAGCACTGGCACAAACCAAAGGCAAGATTATACATTCAAAAATGCTGCATTCTGTCTAGAAAAACATTTTCCTCCATTTATCTTACGTTCTCTCATCTTTCCTAAATAATAGGCTTCCTGTAGATCAAATTTCATGAATTGTTACCTTCAGTCCTTGCCTAGAAGTTTAAGATAAAAGAGACTATATATCAATCCACAATTGTTATTTGACTCAAGACAAGGAAATTATTACAAATATAAATATTCCAACAGAGGCTGTATTATTAGATGTGTGAGGAGAAAAATGAACTCAGCCTTCGATATTTTTTTCCTGCTCGTAGTCTTGAACCCCAACGTGAATGCATCTTTTCACATAAACCTGGTTCGAAGGTGATGACAGAGTCGTGAAGCTAGAGCTCTTCTTGATCCTCTTCTTTTGAAAATAGTTCTAATTTCAAATTATTTAAGGGAGTACTGGTTGTGCTTTCCAGGTTACGGAAACAGAACTTTTTCATAACATCCTCAGACAATATTCCAAAGAGCATTTCATTAAATAATGCCCTGACCAGGGTTGTCTCCAAATGGGAGAAAAGGACAAAATTTTGAAACAAAGAGTGAATCAGCATCATGGCACGGTGAAATTATGACTGAAGAACCGGAACACTCCCAAGATAAAAAGCAAAATGACACCTTTGAATCACGAGATGCCAGGTGCATTCCGAGTAGCACCAAATTCCTGGAATATGAAATAGATTTGTGCCTTGAAGAATCACTGCTGGGGTTAGCCATTTATTCTTTCTGTTATTTAGAAAAGCTTTGAGGGGTGAGAGAATAGAGATAGCCTGAATAAATTTGGTGGCAATAAAATAGGGAAAAGCTTAGTTGTTTTTTTTTTTTTTTTCTTTTTTAGAAACTATCTTTGACATGTCTGCATTCTTTCTTGGAAGCATGACCTATAGGTAAAAGAATTCATTCAGTATCTCTTATTCTGGAATAAGTCCTTTGGGAGTGTGGGGAATCCAAAGATCATTTACAAAGATTTTGTGACCTTAAATGGCTCACATTCTAGTGAAGGAATGAGAAAGTAATGATCACGAAGGGATCTGTCAGATTAAATCTTAAATACAGAAGTGAGACGAGAAGTTTCCAGGTGTCATTCCCAGTGGAATGAGGAAGCAGGGACCATAAACTATGACAGTCCTGGAATTGTCTCAAACTTTTCTTGTGATGTCATTTGTCCCTGAGCAATTCCAGTCAATGTTACACAGTTTGATTTTAGGGCAGAGAAGTTTCCTTACCAGAAACCAAAGGTGGAACAGAAACTTTACATATGTTGTGAGTTCTCTAGACAAAATTCTGGTCAGTGTGATTCAAAATGAAAAAAGTCCCATGTGTGAGTTAATCTTTGGAGGCTGGAAATTAGGCCACAGAATTGATTCATGCTTTGCCAAGAAGTCTGCCTTGAATCGATTTGCACTTTTATCACCATCATTTGGGAAGAGTCTTCGACCCTGGTTGTCCAGTTTGGGGAGTCTATTTTCTATTCAGTTCTGGCAAACCATGAATGACTTACATATTGAAGATAAAAGCCAACACAAAGGTAAATATTGTTGGTATATTTGAAAGAGGAGGAGTAGATTTTCTTGAAAAAGTAGACTTAGGGCAAAGATGAAAAAGGAAATACAATTTTATAAAACTTCATATCCTCTAGGAGATGCTGGCAAAGTATTTTAGTTGTGAAAATCATTGAAGAAGA